CGAGCGGGATGAGTGGGTGTTTGTGCGCGCGTGCAATTGAGCTTTAAATTCCGACTATAATTGAGCCGACTATACAACCATGGATGGCTACCTTCTACATTCACAGGGTGGGCTTCGGGCATGGACCCCAGGCGAAGTCAAGGCGATGGTTTCTAGAGCAGGCTCTAGATAAAGTTGCCTTGACCGCCGGAGGTGGTCCACGGCGATCAACGGGCTGGGCCTACGGCGGCTATCCTCAACGAGCACGAGGTGATCTTGCGATTGCCGCCGGGCGGGGTCTCCAAGTAAACTCCCGTAAGTTTCTACTAATGAGCGTTACTTGTTTGTGGTCCGCTCTACCGACCGCCACAAACGTTGGTGGACCGACTCGTTGTGCCCCTTCTACCATCGTGCTGAGCGGTCCCTCGCCAACGTGTGAGTGAATTTTGTGTGTCCCTCCCTGCCCTCCCGGGATGAGTGGGTGTTTGTGCGCGCGTGCAATTGAGCTTTAAATTCCGACTATAATTGAGCCGACTATACAACCATGGATGGCTACCTTCTACATTCACAGGGTGGGCTTCGGGCATGGACCCCAGGCGAAGTCAAGGCTAGATGGATCTGACCTCGGGGCCGATGTGACCAAGCGCTGGTAGCGTGGTTTTGGGCATCCTCTATCACAACACTACTGATCCTGGTCATTAGAGCTGCCAGGGATAGCGTCAGGAGCCGGTAGGAGTCAAAACCCCTCACATTTGAGACGACATCGTGTCCCATATACTCGTGCAACAAGCCTGTGGCGCGGTGGCCGCGCCGACTCAACGCCGCGCCCGATTTTTTTCTTTTTTCTCACCCTGAAGCGAGAGAGTCGAGAAGGGAGAGACAGCAACGAGAGTCAGATTTTCTCTCACAACACAGAGCCCATTCGCCCTTCTCATCACTGCCCTGGCGCCCACGCCTCGACCTTCTTGGGCAGCAGCTGGTCCGACAGGTCCTCTCCGTGTCCTAGGCAGCCGCGGCCGCCCTCGCCCCAGGCATAAACAGCGCCATCGACCGTGCGGGCGAAGTTGCGGTCTACTCCTGCCGACACAGCGACGACGCGCTGCCCAGCAAAGGCCTCGACCTTCTTGGGCAGCGGCTGGATCTGCTGGTCGCCGTGGCCCAGCTTGCCGTAGTCTCCGTCGCCCCAGCTCCAGACACTGCCGTCGGCGGCGAGAGCGAGGCTGTGGCCGGCTCCAGCCGACACAGCGACGACGCGCTGCCCAGCAAAGGCCTCGACCTTCTTCGGTAGCGGCTGGGTCTGCGTGTCGCCGTGGCCCAGCTGGCCAGAGACTCCACTGCCCCAGCTCCAGACGGCGCCGTCCGCGGTGATGGCGAGGCTGTGCACATCTCCAGCGGACACAGCGACGATGCGCCGCCCAGCCAAGGCCTCGATCTTCGTTGGCAGCAGCTGCTGCTGCCGGTCGCCGTGGCCCAGCTCGCCCCAGCCTCCATAGCCCCAGCTCCAGACGGCGCCGTCCGCAATGATGGCGAGGCTGTGGCGCTGCCCAGCCGACAGTGCGACGACGCGCTGGCTAGCAAAAGCCTCAATCTTCTTGGGCAGCAGCTGCTGCTGCCGGTCGCCGTGGCCCAACTGGCCAAAGGCTCCCAATCCCCAGCTCCAAACGGCGCCGTCGGCGGTGAGAGCGAGGCTGTGCTCCCCTCCCACCGACACAGCGGCGACGCGCCGGCTAGCAAAGGCTGCGATCTTCTTCGGCAGCAGCTGGTCCTGCTGGTCGCCGTGGCCCAGCTTGCCAAAGCCTCCATCGCCCCAGCTCCAGACGGCGCCGTCAGCGGTGAGGGCGAGGCTGTGCATGCTTGCTGCCGACACGCTCACGGCGCGCTCGCCGCCCAGTGGCGACGGGAGGCGCGTTGGCGTGTTGAGCTGCACCACACCCTCGCCGTGCCCAAGAATGCCCGGCATCCAGCTCTCAGCCTTCCCGCACGACGAGAGCCGCCCCTCGCCGTCGATGAAGAGGCTGTGCCGTCCGCCTGCCGCCGCCCTCGCCGGCGGGTTAAACTCGCACAGCAACGCAGCGAAGCACAGCCACCGCACGGGGCAGCCCTCGCCCTCTGGCTGCGCCGGCAGCTCGAAGCCGCGCTCTTGCGCCCACAAGCGGATGGCCTCCGCCGCGAGCGAGGCGTGGAAGAGCAGCGAGACGGCCGCGACGCGAGCGATGTCGACGGGGCTGTCGCAGCGAGAGAGGACGCGCTCGAGGAGGTCCGTGGGGAGGTCGAGCAGGCGGGCGGGCGGCGGCGTGTCCGGCGAGGGGGCAGCGGCGGAGGAGGCGGTGGCCCCGGTGGCGAGGCGGCGCGAGCAGCGGCGCGGCGGGGCAGACATCGAGAAAAAGAATTCGCGCCGATCTCTCTTCAAATAAATAAATAATAAATACAACGGACATCCCAAGCTAGGGCTGGGTCGAGGACAGACACGTCCCCACCTTTGCAGGATTTTGCAAAAGCGAGGGGGGAGGGCGCATCGCCGCGCGGAGAGGGCTGGGCACAGGGCACAGGGGATCTCTCTCGCATAGGATATGCACTCGGCGGCACGAGGGCAAGGCTGGGCGTCCTATGTTTGTGCTCCCCCCCGGACCCCTCGCTCTCGGGCACTAACCATCTGACCACTCATCGACGGGGCTTGGATCTCTCTTCAGAAAAGAAAGAAAGAAAACAGACAACCCAAGGGAGGGATGGGAGGACGGCACGCCGCCACCACACAGGGATTTTAAGGAGAGGTGTGTGGTGCGCTATCCGTCGCCCACCCTAGGGAGTCTGCCTCTTCCTATCTCTCTTCGCAGTCTCTCGCTGATTCTCGCTTCAGAAAGAAAGAAAGAAAGAAAACAGGCAACCCAAGGGAGGGATGGGAGGACGGTACGCCGCCACCACACAGGGATTTTAGGGGAGAAGTGTGGTGTTAGCCGTCGCCCACCCTCGGGCGTCTACCACTTCCTATCTCTCTCCGCAGTTTATCACCAATTCTTGCAGCGACCTTCATGCCACCTCGCATTCTTCTCACTCTCGTCGTTCTCTCTCCTGCTGTCTCTTCCCCTGACTCATCGCTCTCCTCGGCCTCGTTCTGAGACGCCGCTGTCGTCTGCCGATCTCTTGCTCTCGCTGCTTCTCTCGCCTTTCTGCGTAACTCCGCTCTCCTCTCCGCGTATTTTGGTCCCTCGAGTTTATCGAGCATTCCTCGCGCAAGGACCACATTTCTGACTCCCACTGCGAGCATATCCCGCCCTGTCATGTCGTTGCTCAGGTCCACTCTCGTTTCGAGCACTTGTACCTCAATGGTCGGTGTTGGCACTGGGGTTCCCTTCGGGTATATTGTGACAGCTGACGGCGGGATTTCCACTTTTGTTTCGTCCTCCTCGGGGTCGTCTTCCCCGGCTTCCTTGCGTTCGGCGTGGCTTACCCTCCATGCCGTGAACAGGCGCTTTATCCACTCTATATTCTTCTCTCGTTCCTCTGCCCGTGCCTTGGTCTTGTCGTTGTTTCGCACCCATGTCTGTATGGCCATCGAGGCTGCCTTCCCCACTACCTCTTCCTTATTTCCAGCGCAGCTGCCGCTCAGTATGTGCGCCAACGACGCCTCTTTTGTGGCCTCATCCCTAGCCGCCTTGCACGCTCTGCATCCCCAGAACGCGCTTCTCGTGGCGGGGCCCCTCATTCCCCGCTTCTTTTCCCCCTCTAGAATACGCCTGTGGTGTGCCCCATGTGGCACCCCGACCTGTTGTCTCACCCTGGCCCCCAAGATCGTTTTGGTCGTCACATTGTGATCCCCGACGTCGTCAAATGTCGCCCGCCTGTCCTTCCCCCCGTTCTCGTCGGGCAATCTCATCTTATTGTCCCATCGATGTTTTAGGCTGGCTACAGCCACTTCGCTCCACAGCCGTCCCGCCACCCCTGCCGTGTGCGATCCCGGCCTCACCGTCTTTCGAAGTTGTTCGCACACCCACTCGTGTGCGCTCTGGCGCATGTGCCCGTATGTCCGTCGGTCCGATATCTCCCTCTTCTCCGGGTCTTCTGCCATCTCCTTTCTCACTGTGTACATGCACGGCCGAGTTCGCACCGCGTCCCGCACCACTTTCGAGGCGTCCTCCGCGTCGTTATTTCCGAGGTATGCTGTCGCCACCGCGTCGGCGTATGCGTTGCAGGCTATTCCCACGTGTGCTGGCACCCACATGAAGACCACCGCCTCTAGCTTCGATCTATAGTAAGCGATCGCCTCCAGCAGTCCGCCTCTCTCCCAGTCCCTCAGACCTTCTGGCATCCCTTTGCGGTGCGCATTCTCAATTTGCTGCAGCGCGGGTTTGCAGTCGCATAGCACTAAGCACCGCCGCGATTGCGCATCGCTCGCGCTCGCCATTTTGCGTAAGTATGCGAGTATCGCGTACATCTCCGCGTCTATCGGCTCCCACGTGTTTGGCAGCTTTCCTCCCCACATGCCCGCGCCAAAGGCTGTCCGTATCTCCTCTTCATCACAGGGCCCGATTCCGTTGGGATCCGGCCGTTCAAACGTTGTTAGTCCTCCCATCCCTCCCTTGGGTTGTCTGTTTTCTTTCTTTCTTTCTTTTACTAAAGTGATGGCTGGTGGTACTCTCCTGCAATCACAGTCCTTCCTGTGACATGGCAGGCCACTATCAAGCCCTACAAGCACCAGATCACCCATTTGGGGAGGGTTGACATCGTGATTTCCGCGGAAAATTTCTTTTTCTGAAAATTCCGGCGTGAAGAGAGGGAAAAACCCGAAAAAAGCGACCAGACCTACCCTACCTACCCCGGCATGCTGGCCGCCCCAAGCAAAAAGAATACACACCTGAGCGGCGGCACAAAACTGCGCCGCGGCCCGGACACAGAGAAGAAAATCGCGGTCGAGTTCTGTTACGCTTGCCAACCGTCGCCGGCGCGGCGCGCATCCCGCGGTGCGTGGGCTGCGAACTGCCGCTCCGAGTGCTCCAGCCGCCCCGAGCCCCCTCAAAGCCAACATGTCGTACCGCGAGCTGCGAAACTTCAAGGAGATCATGTGCACGCTCGGCTATCCGCGCCTGATATCCATCGAGAATTTCCGTGCGCCTCCGCTGCCCCCCCACCCCCCCTCCGCCCAGCGCTCCTCCCCCGCCCTCGCCGCTCCCTCTATGGCCGTCCAGGCCGTCGAGGCAACCGAGACCGCGCTGAGCCGTCCGTGATCTCGCAGGCAAACCCCACTTTGAGCTGGTGGCGGACGTGCTCATCTGGCTGTGCCGGAGGTACGACAAGAAGATGCAAATCCTCGACGAGATCCGCACCGAGGGGGACCGGATAGCGTTTCTGAAATCAGCCGCGGAGCAACTGCTGGTGCGCGCTTCGGGCAGCCGTTTCCCTTCACCCGCCCCACACTCCCAGAGAGCGCAAGTTGGACACCGCGCCCCGTGCGGAGGCGCGCGTGCAGTGTGTCATCCCACACTGGCCTGCGGCGCAGGTGCGAGCTCGAGTGAAGCTCAACCTCAAGAACCTCTACCAGGCGAATGGGTTTGCAGTCAAGGAGCTGCTCAAGGTGGCGGCCCTCCTCCACCAGGCGCACCGCGGGGCCACCGACGACGACGAGCAGAACGAGCTCTCCTTTGACCTGGGGTGGGCCGTCCCAAAGCGCCGGCCCCGTCCACTTCCGGCTAGGAAGCCCGCATGCCGAGCGTCCATAGGCCAGGACATGCCTTTGCTGACCTCAAGACGACTCGCGCGATCTCTGCAGACATCACCAAGTACGGTGCCGCTCTGCACGAGGTGCGCTACTGGCTACTGTCATAAACCCGCACCAAGCGCAGGCGAGATGCTTTCCGCCGAGTCCTGGTAGGCGCTGGAAGGGCACGCAGACGCAAAGGAGGCTGCCGCTCGTGCGCTGGGCAAGCATCACGACGCCGACTCGATGCACAAGCAGCTTGCGAGGCGGTCGCGGCACAATGTCCGACGCAACAGCCCTGCGGTGCCTGACGCTCACTTGTTTGTGCAAAGGCTTGCGGAGGCGTCTGCTGAGGAGGCGGAGAGCTGGGCAGATAAGTTGCGCACGCTCAGCGCCGACGAGGCGGCGCTGCAGGCATGCCTTTGCCTCCCTGACTCCTATCATTCGCTCCCGGCTCATCCCCGGGCTCTGTCTAAAGGCCAAGATTGACAAGAAGCGGACCGAGCTCGATCGGCAGCTGAAGCGGCTAGCGTCTCTCCAGTCGGTGGGCCGCACAGCTGCGGCCCAGCTCACGCTTGCACGAGGGGTCCACTGGGCGCACCCGTCCCCGCAGGTGAGACCAGCACATATGGACGAGATGGAGAGGCTCGAGGTGGCAGGATCAAGTGGCGCTGGCTGGTCGCGACTAGCCGTCCTAGCGCGGCCCGGGACGCGCAATAGGCGGATCTCAACGCACAGTACAGCAGCTATGTCAGCCTCTGGCGCAACCTCACCTACCTCGAGGGCGAGGGCGCTTGCACGAGCGCCACCGCGCTTCAGCTTCCTACTTGAGTCTCTGTATCTCGGGCGAACAGGCGAGTTGGACGCCATCCACGCCGCCGACGCGGAGAAGGCCTGAAGAGTGACGGTTCCAACAGCGCGGGCATTTGTACCGGTTAATTGACTTTTGACTTGTCGAACAGGCGGAGGCGCGTGAGCGCCATTTGCGGGCAATGCAGAGGCGGCTGCGAGAGGAGGAGCTGCAGGTGCTGCGCGGCCAGGCGAGCAGAGCATGCGGCGCCGCCCGACAGCATGCACAAGGCTCAGGTTGTTCGCGCCTCTCCGTACGCAGGCGCAGGTTGATGAGCAGGCCTTAGACGAGGCGCTCGAGTCAGACGCGCGTCGGTTGGCGCGGCCGCGTGGCGCATCCCGAGGCCAGCACGGCGCGGCGAGGCACAGCGACGAGGAGAGCGACGAGGAGAGCGATGAGGAGGCAAGCCGTCAATGACGCACGATGTCTCCTCTCAAATGGCACGCTTTCACCTATGATGTGAGTTGCAGGAAGAGGAGGACGAGGATGATGAGGACGACGGCGACCTGACCGAGGTGGTGCCTTAGGTCGAGAGGAGAGCAAAAAATCCGATGATGGAGCTTAAATCTGCCTCCACCTTGTGATCAGGGCGGCTTTGGCGGTGGAGCACACTCGCCAAACGGAGTGGGCGGCATGTTTGAGCTGGACGAGGATGCGTCCGAGGAGGAGGACGACGACGATGACGACAATTTTTGAATCGATGCCCGCAGCCGTCGCGCGGAAATGCTCGGCGGCTCCCGGCGTACGATGTGGGTGGTTCCAGATGATAGAAGGCGGGGCGCCTTGAAGGCGGATCGCTATCCCCGCCGGACGACTACTGACCTCGGCTGCTCGGCTCTCTCGGCGTCCCGGGAGGTGATTGTTTACAGAGGCGCGCCAAACGGTAATGAACACTAAAGCAATGCCAAACCAAAAGCAGACACGACTCCCACGGGCGTGGTGAAAAGTGTAACTGTAAGTGAAAAAAGTCTCGTCATATGTGAGAATGACAGCACACATCGGAAGCAGTAAATCGCGTCATGCGTCAAACGCGGTGCCGGTGCCGGTGGCCGGCTTAGGCTTCTGGCGATCCTTCGCGAGCTTTCGCTCCGCCGCGGCGACGTTCTCGGCATGCTCCGCGTTAACGAGCTTGGCCTTGAGGTCCGCCGATAAATTGTCGCCGTAACGGTAGTCGGTCTGGCTGCCATCCCAGGAAAGGTGCCAGTTGTTGACGCCAAAACGCGGGTTGTCCATGAGCGCCGCGAGGAAGGAGTTACAGGATGTGATGGCGTCGAAGACGGGCAGCCGGGTCGCCGCGCGCACGGCGTCCGAGTATGGCGGCAGCTCCGTGCACTCAAACAGGATGGCGCGAATTGGCTTTGCCGTGTCTGCGTATTTGGCGACTGTCTCCTTTGCGAGTCGGACGATGTGCGGCATGACAGAGTCGACGTCGACGCGATCGCCATTCGCCACCGCCTCGAAGCCAGGCACGTCTTGGCAGCCAACGATGATGAAGCGCGACTCCTCCGGGTCCACGCCGCACTCCTTCTTGATCAGGTCACGCATGGGCTTCAGCGACTCGCCGTTGGCGGTAAAGAGCGCAATGTGCTCGTGTGCGGCATAGGCACAGACGACGGCGGGCAGCTGGCAAAGCGATGACATGAAGACGGGTTTGTCGGTGACTGTCCTCGCGAGGTCTTGAAAATTCATGAAGAAGCCACAGTCACTGGTGATTCCCGCAACACCTTGCGCGTCAAGCCACTTGATGGCGTCGATGAAGCGCTGCTTGATTTCGTCCGGCATCTCGCCCTTTTGGCACATCCCAAACGTGAGGCCAGGCACGACACGATAAAACACGTCGTAGTAAAAGGAGCCCGGGTGATCAATGTCGCCGAGGGCGGGAGGGTAGTCGTAGTCGAGCCGTATCACGCCCAGTGACGGGTACTCGCAGACCAGCAGTTTGGCATCATCATCGGCGGGCGGCAGCGGCTTGAAGCGACCACCCTCGTCAACTTCGGCCCCCGGATAGTTCTTCTCGATCGTCTTTCTGTCTTTACCTGCCATGGCAGGTGCACAAGGCCGAGTCAACCGGGCGATATGTGCGTGGGTTGCGGTGAGCATGAAGGACTACTCGCTCCTCCACGCGCCTGCACTCGTCACATTCCGATTGAGCTCGGGCTTCGAACCGGCGCATCCCATTGCAAAGGCTCGTATTTGCAAGCGACCAGCCCACGCCGTCCCTAAAGAGCCGATCTGACCACACTTTGCATATGTCTCACGCAATCAAAAAGCGCCCGCGAGCGCCTGTCCCTGTGACACGCCGCGGGGGCGCAAAGTCGATCGGTCGCGCGTTGTGCGCGGGGTGGTTTGGGTCCGTTTGTGTGTCTTTCAAGCCCGGTTTATATGGCGTAGTGCGCTGGATCCGTGTGCGAGAGAGATAGAGTCGAGTCTGTCACATGCGCATATTATGTGAAGAGAGAGAGAGAGAGAGAGTCCTATTGAGACTGTGTGGCAGGTGACGATAACTCCAAGCGCCAAAACCTCGAACTGCTTCCGGTCTCACCTAGACGCGACCCCGCATGGTGGCTGCGGCAACGTCCTCGCCCAGCGGAGCCACGCATCCGTGTCTGTTGGCGGTGGCGCAATGCTGCGAGCTGCAACTGCGGCCTTGTCGTAGCGCACGGGCGGGCCGACGGCGGCCCCGCCAGCCGTGCGGATGGCTCCCGCGACAGCGTCCCGGTCGAAATCGCCCACGATCGCGTCAAAGAGCTGCTCGGGCGCGAGCGCGCTCGGGGTCGCCGCGTACCGAGGCAACGCCGCCTGCTCCGCACGCAAGGGCCGCTCCCCCTCCTCCCCGTCCTCTCCGCCGGCCGACCCGCTGTTGAGCGAGGCCAACGCCTTGGAGATGACGTCTCCGCGCGCCTGCACCACCCACAGCCGGTCCTCAAAGGGAAGGACCATCGCCACGTCGTCCCGGGTCACACGGCCGGCGTACAAGTCATACCTCAACGCGCCGGTCGAGGTGAGGAAGCACTGCGATGCGTTGCGCGCAGGCGTGAAGAGGGCGGCCGGCGCGACGACGTCCAAATAGAGCGACCAGAGCGAGTCGTCCGCGCCGAGGGGGGCGGAGGCGCGGTAGGTGCGTGGCGCGCAGCCGAGAGCAGTCGAGACTCCGAGCGCATCGCGCGTCTCGTCGATGCGGCGCGACAGCGCCAGGCCTGCCGGCGTGTCGAACGCGGCAGCGGCGACCCCGGCGGCGGCGGCGAGCGAGGCGCGGCTCATATGCACATACTCGTGCACGAAGCTGTGGTGGAGTGACACTCCGCGCGAGGCGTTGAACGACGCGAAGCCAACCGTGTCCGCGTAGTGGCCTGCTTCGAGCACCGCCGCGCGCGCGTCGAGGCGCGCGGAGGCGCGGATGTGGGAATGGCCCGCGAGGACCTGCACGAGTACTGCCGGCCCCACCGCCCTGCGGATGGCGGCCAGCATCTCGCCCACGAGCGGGTCGGCGTAGTGCATGTGCGCGAGGAGCACGATCGCGTCGACGTGCGCAGCGTGCGCCATCGCCGCAGCAAACCACGGCTCGCTCACGGCCGCCGCGATCTTAGTGACGTTGACGGCGGCGCAGTGGTCGCGCATCTCGTACAGCCAGCCGAGGACGAGCAGCCGAGTCCCGTGTCGCCCTTTCAGCAAGGCGAAGCGCGATCCGAGCGGCGCTCCCGACGAGGCGAGTACGATGTTGGAGGTGAGGTAAGTCCCGTTCCAGCTGCCGACAAAGGACGGCCGCGGGCCGACCGTGCCAAGCAGCCCCTCGAGAACAGTCCTGCTCTGGTAGAGCTCGTGGTTGCCGCAGTTCAGTGCATCGAGCGGCAGGCTGGTCAGCAGCGGGAGCACCGCCTTGCCGTGGACGGGCGTGGCAGAGCTTAGCCCGGTCCCGTCAACCACGTCACCTGAGCGGGGAGAAGGGGGAGGGGGGGGGTCGGGCCGGCGGCGGCGTGGCGGGCGGGCCCGCGCAGGGAAGGCGCATCGCAGGGTGAGGCGCATCGCAGGGAGAGGGCAGGGAGAGGGCAGGGAGAGGCGCACCGTTGTCGAAGAAAAAGACGTCCTTCCCCTGCTTGTCGCCCGCGGCGCGGAGGTGCTGGACGAAAGACAGCAGTGCACCGAAGGACGCGTCGCACCTCTCGACGCCGCACATGCCATCCGCGTGCAGGTGGGCGGCGAGGAAAGAGTGCACATCGGTGACGACGAGGAGGTTGACCTCCGACAGGCGCAGCGCAGTCTGCTTTTGCATGTCGCAGCCACGAAACCGCCTTTCTTTTTTCTGTGTTTACCCCGGGGCGCCCACTCCTCGATCTTCTTGGGCAGCAGCTGGTTCGACAGGTCCTCGCCGTGGCCCAGACTGCCGGAGGCTCCACCGCCCCAGCTCCACGGAGGGCGCCGTCGGCGGTGAGGGCGGAGGCTGTGGGCGGCTCCGGCAGCACCACCAGCAGACGCAGCGAGGTACGACCTCGGCTCCCGCTGCTCGCCCAACGGCGGCCATTGCATGTTAGGAAACAAACGTCAAGGCAAGGCCCAACGCCGACACACACTCTTTTTTTTCCGGTTCGAGTGGAAAAGGAACGCTTTTCTCTCTATCTTTCACACCGGCCTTGCCCCCGGAAAGCGGGAGTGAGGAGCGCGAGGGGGGCAGCCGATTCACTCCTGATTCCTGTGCAGGGGCCGCGCCCCATACAGCGTGCCTGCTCAGCAGCAACCCGCCCCCCCCCCCCCCCCGCACATCTGCGGGGAGCGGGCTGGCTAGCTGGCGGCTAGCTTGCACTTGACGCGTCGAAATATGCTACGGCCACACGGGCCCTATCTTCCCCCAAAAGCGCAGCGCCGCACGGCTGGCGTCAAGCGG